ATCCCACCTACACCTAGGGGGTAACACCCTACCCTTTTTTCAGGTACTTATTATTATGGCTAGGATTTGTTATATAGAAGACTACCCAAAGGGTCCATGTACCCAAAGCATAGATACTTTGGCCTTAAAGTAGTCCCCATATAGGTGCTTTGGGGCTAAAGTTGGGTACATGGACCCTTAGGGCTAGGTACCCTAAAGAAGAGGTGGGGTATGACTTTGTAGGTGCACCTCAAGCCCCAGGGTTCCAAAACAGCAGCCAGATAGTGCGACTCTTAGGCTCGAGAGTCCTCCTGTGACGTGGGGTTTAGGGTTTAGGTTTAGGTTTTGGTTTTAGGGTTTAGGGCTTAGGGTTTAGGTTTTAGGGTTTAGGGTTTAGGGTGTAGGTTTAGGTTTTAGGGTTTATAAGGGTTTGGGTTTTAGGGGTGTATACGGTTCCGGTTTAGGGTTTAGGGGTTTGCCTTTGTTAGCAGGCCGTTCTTAGATACTCCACAAGCCAAGATGATAAGGAATGTAAGCTAAGTCCAACAGTGACCCGTTTTACAGCTGATAAGGAATGTAAGCCAAGTCCAACAGTGACCCGCTTTACAGCTTAAGGTGAGTAGTGCAGGTTTCGACAAGCAGACACAGATGCACACGCACACAGAGACAGAAGCTTCAGCCTGAAACTAAAATTTTCAAAACCGAACAACATAAGAGGATATCCGATGATAGATCATAGATATTTCGCAGTAGATACGTAGATAACCTGAAATAAACATAAGAGGATATCCGATGATAGATCATAGATATTTCGCAGTAGATACGTGTAGATAACCTGAAATAAAGAACGCGAGGCGATAGAAATCATAAGCAGCGCCACAAAAACAAAAAGAAACGTGCGAGCGCCGAGTTTTCGATGTACTACTCCACGGCTCAAAACGCTGGCTGCTCCTTCAGGAGGACATGGTTTCTTCGGGTTTTGAAGTTTAAGGTTCTGTTTACCAATATTGCTAGGGTTTAATTCGGTTAAAGGTTTAGGATTTAACGGGATGATGGTTTCGGGGTATGTGCATAAGCAGAGACTCCAAAACCGTTTAATTCAGGAATGTACCTCAAGTTATACGCGGAACCCTACTATGGTTTAAGGTACAGTTCTTCATTAAGGGGTTTGAAAGTCTCTGGGAATACACCTACATGCATGAACACATGCATACATACGGACCGTTGAGCATTAAGACAGAACCCTAAACCCGAAACTCTAAACCGATGAAAACACAAATCTCGCCTCCAAAGACCGGCAACTTTAAACCTAGGGCCCTCGACCCCCAAAGACCCCCCGAAACCTGAAAGTTTCGTAACGCCTAAACCCCAAGCCCTCCTAAACCCTAAACCCCCTTCACGAAGCCCCAAACCCCAAGCCCTAAACCCTCCTAAACCCCAAACCCAAATCCTAAACTTCCAACCGTACAGAACCGCTATACATTTAGTCTCCATTGTAGTTCCTTTTTGGGGTGACCTTATAGGATCCTAAATATAAATACAAATATGTATATATATATATATATGGCTAAACCCAGCAAGGGAACTACAATGGAGACTATGGGTAAGTTTCGAGGACGAGATGGAACGAGTGGCGTCCAAAGCCCGAGAGGCTGGCCTGGATATTGGGTTTAGGGTTTAGGGTTTTGGGGTTCAGGGTTTAGGGTTTTGGGGTTTTGGGTTTTTGGGTTTAGGGTTTAGGGTTCGTTGGATCAGAGCTGCACAGGCGTGCAGCCACTTTGAGGTTTTGGGTTTAGTTCACTTGTGCTGTATAATGGTGTATGTGTTTTCGGAACTCAGGTTCGTATAGTATGCGATAGATACCTATGCATTAGGTTGCTATGCTATGGATGCCAATTTTTTGAAGATGGAACGCAAGTCCCTACATATAGCTGAATGGGGTTTTAGGGCTGCTGTAGGGGACAGACGTCTTTGCAGCAATATTCTCTTAACTGTCTGAATATGACAGATGGTGACACGACCTTCTAGCATCTATGATATATAGATAGGTAGATAGATAGATAGATAGATAGATAGATAGATAGAGTGCCTTCTAGCATCGAAACCCTAAACCCTAAACCCTAAACCGATATATATATATATATATATATATGTATATGTATATAAACAAATAGAGAGAGAGAGAGAGAGAGTCATAGTGGAATAGACTTTTGTCAGCATTCGGGCCCAAGCCTGGTTGGATGGGGGCGAAGGATGGAGGGAGTGTGAGCTTTGGGTTTTGGGGTAAGGGGCTTAGGGTTTAGGGTTTAGGGGTTTAGGGTTTAGGGGTTTAGGGTTTAGGGTTTAGGGGTTAGGGGTTTAGGGTTTAGGGGTTTAGGGTTTAGGGTTTAGGGGTAAGCGTCTCGAGTGCTGGGATGTAGGACCTACCTACAGTCTTCAACGTAGCCCCCTTCTTCGCTTATTTAGCCTTACGGTTAGGATCTATAGTTATGGTAGAGGGTTCAGGATCTTAGGTTTTAGATTTTAGGATCTTGGGTTCAGGATCTGGGCTGTGGAAACAGGTATCAGGTCTTGTTTGGTCTGCGGTGTTGTGTCTGAGGCCTAGCCTTGTAACCCCAAACTGCGTAGTCCAAAAGCGCCTGACTGCGTGACCCTAAGGGTCCATGTGCCCAGATAGTATGTACTTTGGCCTTAATGTAGTCCCTATATAGGTACTTTAGGGCCAATGTTCGACTATTTGGGTACATGGACCCTTAGGGTGATTTTTTTGTTGCGGTGCCTCGACTAATTACCTAAACCCTAAACCCTAAGCCCTAAACCCTAAACCCTAAACCCTAAACCTCATTAAGCTCGGGCCCCTTCACTGAACCGTGCACGACCCTTACTATACGTTCGATCTTCAGCAGGATTACTAGCACCCGGAATGCAGCAAGCTGGCACCCAAGCTCTAGATCGACCTGCGTTTTCGGCAATCCCCGAAGGGTCCATGTACCCAACTTTTCAACAGTATATACTTTGGCCCCAAAGTACTTATATCGGGACTGCTTTAAGGCCAAAGTATATACTATTTGGGCACATAGACCCTTAGGGATACGTGTCGACTCGCGAGCCCCGCACATTCAGCCTACTTAAGGTTTAGGGTTTAGGGTTTGGGGTCTCGAAACCATTGCCAACAATCCTGAACCCGGAAAGCTCTTCTCCCTAAACCCTAAACCCTAAACCCTAAACCCTAGCTTTACATCGTAACCCTTGGCAACGGTGGGAAATGCTTTGTTCAGGGTTTAGAACTGAGGCCTTGGCACTGGGCATTTTGGCTTTCATCGTGGGGCGATTGGGGTTTTTGGGCAGAAGTGAAGGTTTGGGAGGTACAAGTTAGGGCTTAAGAGGTAAAGGCGCTTCGGCCGACTACTAGGTCAGAATAGTTGCTTAATCGTACCCCCTTGTATGTAAGCCGCTTTTCTGGTTCTTACGGCCTCTGAACCGTTACCTCGCCGTGCAGCCCTGCTCAAGCCCGTTGGGACGAGCTTGAAGAAGTTGTTGCCCGTAGACTTAGAGCCCAGCATGGAAGTTTCCGAAACATGGGGTACCTAATGACGGGTCGTTGTAGACCAAACTTCGGAGTTTGACGGTTTCGGGAGTTTGATGTTCAGCGTCGAGCCCATAGGGTTTATTCGGATGTTTTTTGTGGAGGGGGTTTCAGAGGTTCAGTTTCGGGGCTTTAACGATTGAAGGGGTTCTTTCATCGTCATGGGGTGGCGGTTGCTGCTGTGCCCTAACGCGACGGTTGCGCAGCTCGCTCGTCATAGCCTATGCTCTGCTTGACTTGAAGCACGGACTTGTCCAGGGTTCGACCAGGGGGTCTATAACCCAGAGGCTCCATATACACTACCATTTTGGAATTAGGCCCCTGCAACTGTAATGAAGATGGTCTTTTGGAACCTTATTCCATAATGGTAGTGTATGAGGAGCCTCTGGGTAAGGGTTCCTCAGCGGGTTCTGTAAGGGTTCTATTGAGGGACTTAGTAACCCCGTTCTCATCGGGGCGATACAACACCCCAGTTCATCCCGCCCATGGCATGACCCTACTTAATCTTTTTCCGTGAAGCACCACAGCCCCGGGATTGGGGCTTCAATGCTTATCAGCATTACTCGTTTCAGTTCCAAAATAGAGTACAGCTTCACCATACTGTGACCCAGAGCGCTATGCCTAGTATAAAGGCCTCTGAGTTACCCTGATCTCTCAACCCTAAACCCTAAAGATCAGATCAGGCCCATGACATTTTAAGGAACAATCCTAAAAGGAAGCCTGGCGAAATGTCCGGGCGCTCCGGTCAGCGGCGGTTTAGGGTTAGGGGTTTACAGGGTTTATAGCTTGTGGACGTATACGTGAGTTGTGAGACTATGCCGGGAGTCTGACGGAGGAACATATCTGCAAACTCTAAATGTTGGGAAATTGTGGAATGCCTGCCTGTGCACTTATGCTTTACACCATTCAGGGAAACTACCCTACCGTTAAGCCGAGTGCAGCTTGCACATAGACACACACACACACACATACACCCTCTCAGCTAAATGGTTGTTCTCGTTAAGGGATTTACAGTAAAGTGCTATGGTAAGGCAACCATATTCTTCAGTATACATCCCTGTTGTGGTAGCAAAAATTAAATCACTTAACAAGAGCCCAGTTTTTCGTGGAGTTGACACCCTCACGGCAACTTACTCGTGGCTCATTCCAAGACTGCCTAGCTTCTGACTCCCTTTAACCCCTAAACCCCAAACCTCAAACCCTGAACTCCAGAACATGAAATCCCGAAGCGACTAACAACTTTGCAGGCCAAAGGCCTCGCACTTGCAGGTCTTTCGGGCATTTTCGCAACCCGCGGATACTATAGGTTGAGCTATAGCCGGAAGTCTCAACAATCCTACAACATCCCGACAAAGCTTATCAGCCCTATAAAATAAAGCTCCTACATAAGCACCTAAAGTAGATCTTGATAATCTCACACATTCGATGAACCCGGATGCATTCAGAAAGGCCTGTTGCAGATCCTCCGGCAGAGCCGGCAGTGGCAGAGACCCTCGCGCCCAATGAAGAGACAAGTACTGGCCGCTGGGATCGAAAATGGAATAAATAGGATAGGACAGTTTGATGCGTTTTTTTTTCTGGGGCCTTGAGCATGTTTGTATGGTCGTAGAATAGTAGATGTTGATTGTATATTTATTATTTTGAGGGTCTCGGCTCCGATCACTGAGTACTTATTACTTTTAGGTCAGGTACAACTTGAAAGGTTGAGGGCTTACCTGGGGTCTCCATTCTTGTCCAGTTTCGCGAACAAAATGTTTGGTATTATAGGACCCTAGCAAGAAAAGAGGGGCTAACCAGCAAGGAACTACAATGGATACTACAGGTAAAGTGCCGGGGTTGTGGGGCTAAGGATTTCTCCACAAAGGTGCGGCTGTCCAGTTTAGGGTTTAGGGCTTTAGGGTTTAAGTGGGGCGGTATGACGATTGCAATTATCGGCAATTTCAGGAGTCGACTCAGGATGCTGCATATGAAGGTGGTAGGTTTAGGGTTTAGGGTTTCGGGGTAGGACTTCGTGCCCTAAACTCTTTGTTGAGCTCTTGAACAGGCATGTGGTTTCTGCTTGGCGTCAAAGGGGAGTCCAATCTGGAGGTTGTAACCTTAAGCCCCAACACCTGAGCCCAGAATCGAAAAAACCCTCGTGGGTAGTTCTGTAAATTGGGATCCCATTCTAGGTCCGCAAGATAGTACGGCACCCTTATAATAAGGACCCTACAAGGGACCCGAACTTAGAAAGCTGCCCCAGTGGTGTCTCTGTTGCGGTTTGCGCTGCATTTCAATGTTTGTAATTTTATTCGAGGTCTGAGGCTCAGTCAGTCGACATAAGTGACATTTAGGGTTTGGGGTTTCGGGTTTAGTCGTAATCGTAATCTTCCCACTTATATTCAACCTTGCTTGTATGCCATGCTTTTTCGATACTCCGAAGAGTTATGGGGGGGCCTGGAAGCTTTGCAATACAGGAAAGCACACCTAGCAGAGGCCTTGGCCCTAAGCATTTTCAACCCCGATTGGTGAATCCTGATCGCCAGCATCCGTCTGCCTATGTCCAATACACTTAGGCCGAAAAGGGGTTCCTAGGTAGTAGCTATTTCAGCCAAAGTATCTCCTACATGGTTGCATGGGCCTATCCGTAAGGGTCCTTGTACCCAAATAGTATGTACCTACACCCTAAACCCTAAACCCTAAACCCTAAACCCAAACCCTAAACCCTAAACCCTATTTGGGGTACATGGACCCTTAGGGTATATTAGATATGGCAAGCAACACCTATCCCCACTTAGAGGATCCTGGTGCTGTTTACGATTGTGAAGTCTACTTCCTACTTTGTTGCTGTCTGAGGGTGCCAGCTTTCACACCCAAATCAATCATAATTGACTGTTCCCAAAGCCCAAAATCCTCCTAAAACTTAAATCCTAAGCCCTAAACCCCAAACCCTTAACCCTAAATCCTAAACCCTAAACCCTAAGCCCAAATATCCGCTTCAAAGGTTGGGCCGCCTTAGCAACGCCGGACTCCCCGACACCGACACCACGCACTGACGAAGTGGAGGCCGGATTTAGGGCCCAGAGCTTTGAATTTCCGTAATAGAGGCTTTATATTAATTACCTATATCATTTTGGGGGTTCCTTATTATAACTATGGTATAATATATCCCAAAGACCTATTCTAATTACTAAGGTACCTATAGTATGCCAGTTGGAGAAACATGACTTCGCGTTTTGGGGTTTAAGGTTGAGGGTTGGGGGTTTATGGTTTAAGGATCCGCAGTGGCACTGGTGTTGTATGTGAATATTCTGGATGCAGCAAGGATCGACTCGCAGAGCAAGTTGATGATGACTTGTCTGGGGGGAAGGTTTCAGCCGTTTTCAAACCCTAAACCCTAAACCCCAAGCCCTAAGCCCTAAGCCGTAAACCCTAAACCCGAAACCCTAAAGCCCGAAACTCCAAGCTTAAAGCCGCAACCAACCCATGCGGGCGTCAACTCGCCTGTGCCCATTCGCCGGCAACTTGACAGAACAAAGCCGGGAACACCCCGCACGAAGCTAGGGCAAGAATAAGACAGATATCTAAACCCTAAACCCTAAACCCTAAACCCTAAACGTAAGTATCTTGACTAGGAACCCGGCACCTCAACATCCGAAATCCAAAGCAAACACACTCAGATTTCGAGCTCCCGATGTGAGACATCTCACGAGGCTGCAGGATCGAAGCTCTTTAAAGGAATCTTAGTACCCTGAAGAAGCTCCTGAACGCTTGATAGTAACTCAAATCAAGGAAGTCCTATAAGCCCCAAACCCTACACCCTAAACCCTAAATCCCGGTTTAGGGTTTAGGGAAACCCTAAATCCCAAGGCTCTAAGCCCTCCTCCTTAGACCCGAAATCCCGAGGCTCTAGACCCTAAACCCTAAACCCCTAAACCCTAAATCCCAAGGCCCGAAGCCCTCAGCCTAAACCCTAAACCCTAAACCCTAAACCCCCCAACTCGAAAAAGGAGGCGGAGATGCAGCTCGCGGCTCCCGCTTTGCCAGAGCCTCTCAGCTTCGGTTTAGGGTTTAGGGTTTAGGGTTTAGGGTTTAGGCTTCGAGTCGGCTTAGTTTTTTCGAAGTTTAGGGCTTCGGGTGTAGGGTTTAGGATGTAGGGGCGTAGGAATTTAGTATTAGGGCTTAGGGTTTAGTTTTTAGTTCAGAGTTTAGGGGCGTAGGATTTAGAGCTTCGGGTGTAGGGCTTTGGGCTTCAGGTGTAGGGTTCAGGGTTCAGGGGTGTAGGGTTTAGGGCGTAGGGATTCAGGATTCAAGGCTTACAGGTTTACGTGTCTTAGGGTTTTGGCTTTTGGGTTGGGGCTTGATCAGCCAAACACTCAGAGTTGTTCGAGCCGTAGCACCGTTTTTTTGTGTACCCCTCAGCCCGGGTTTGGGGTTTAGGGTAACCGGTAACCCCTGAACCTGAAGCCCCACATCCCACAACCCCGAACTGCCCTAAACCCTGAGCCCGCCCAAGCTCCAATTTCTGGCAACTCACCTCAACCCAAACTTCTATTCTTCGGTTTGACGGTTTGGCAGAGGAACATGTAAGAAGCCTCAAATCCGCTGTGAGACACAGTGAAGCCCTCTTGGCCCCTTGGAACCCGGGAAGGTTTTTAAGTGTTACCCTAAGGGCCCATGTACCAAGATAGTATGTACTTTGGCGTTAATGTAGTCCCTATATAGGTACTTGAGGGCCAATGTTCTACTATTTGGGTACATGGACCCTTAGGGGTTGTATATTTGAACCCTACTTGGAGGATCATGGGACGTAGTAGGTATGGTTGTAAGTACCCATAAGTAATTATACATATAGTTACCCAAATCATAAGCCGAGTTACTAAGTCCCCGGATCCTTCAAGTAGACCCTAAACCCTAAACCTTAAACCCTGAGCCCTAAACCCTGAGCTCAGGGCATCGCCGCCGTTGTCGTCTGTGCCCACTCCTGCGCGGAGCCAGAAGCGACCACTCTTGGTGCCCTGGCTCCGAAACCATAAACCCAAAGGAACCTCAAACGGAAGTCCTTAACCCTAAACCCTAAACCCTAAACCCTAAACCCTAATAAGCCCAAACCGAAAGGAATCCGAAGAGAGCATTAGAAGGAAGTCTGCCGGCCCTACAAGTGAGTGAGGGTTTCAGGGTCTGATTGCCATATAGCTGAAGGCGCATACCCTAAAGGGATTAGGGTTTAGGGTTTAGGGTTTAGGGTTTAGGATTCAGGAAGCTCGGATGTGGAGTGAAGAGGCCCAAGGCCTCAACCCCAAAAAAATTTAGGGTTTTAGGCTTTAGGGTTTTTCTAAGGTTTAGGGTTTAGGCCTCAGGCCTCAATCAAGAGTGTAGGGTTTTAGGCTTTAGGGTTTACATCCTAGCTGAAGGGTCTTGGGGATTCAGGGCCTGCATGGTGTATTGTCTAAATCGTCACGAAATCAGTGCATGGAGACAGGTCTTATGATTTGGGATGCGTCGCTGCTGGCTGCGGGTCGAAACCCGAATTAAAGGTGATTTGGGGTGCGAGGTTTCTGATTTGGGGCATGGGACTCAGGATGTGGGTTCTAATTACTTGAAGAGCCCAGGCACCTATAAAGTTATGTTATAAGTAGGGTCACCAAAATTCGGGCGTACTTATATACTACATAGGCTCCATGACCCCATAAGCTTGTTGTCATACGGGTCCATAAGGTCTCGGGAACGTAGTTCTGTCTGGACTTGGCTGTTTCTTCGGATATTCGTAGAAGACAGTGGGTCTCTGGACTTGCATGATTGTTTCGATCATACTGGCCCCAAACAATAATAGTAGTAGTAGTAGTAGTAGTCGTCGTCGTCGTCGTTGTCGTAGCAATAGTAGTAACAGTAGCAGCAGTAGCCGCAGTTATCGCAGTAGCAGCAGCAGCAGTAGTAGTAGGAGTGGGAGAACCAACAACAGCTGATTCGTATGATGCTTTTCATTGCGCTGCTTTCTGGTACCAAGCGGTACCAAGCGGCTGAGGCGCCCGCGACATCAAATTCTGCATCGGTGGAAGTGACAGAAAGAGCGGAGACGGCCGATGCTTGCGCCATGCTTGCGTTTCGGAGGTTGTTTCAGGGTCCGGTAAGAGGTTCATAAGGGCATTTATATGGGGTTGACAGGGGTCGATAAGGGTCGGTTACAAGGGCTCAAGGGCTTAGAGCTTTCGGATTGCTTCCTTAAGTTCGACACCAAGCAGGCACAAAGAGCTGACATAGTGATGTACCATGATATACCCTAAAGGCCCAAAAGCCTGAGCCCTAAACCCTAAAGCCTAAGCCCTAACCCTAGAGCCAAAGCCCTAAACCCTAAACCCTATTTAAAAAAACCTAATCCTTAAGGCCTAAGCCCTAAAGCCTACGCCCTAAACCCTAAAGCCTAAGCCCGAAAGCCCAAGCCCTAAACCCCTATAAAAAGTGCGTGGATCCCGAGCTGACTGGGTTTCGGAGCATCCGAGGCCTTTTTTTCAATGGATTGGGGTTTAGGGTTTAGGGCTTAGGGTTTTAGGGTTTAGGGTTTAGGGTTTAGGGTTTAGGGTTTTAGGGTTTAGGGTTCAGGGTTTAGGGTTGTTGTGTTTGGGCTGAGGGTGTCGGCTGTATCACGCCAGAATACTATTAAGCATAACATAGTTGCCCAGATCATGACCAGTTTCAAGTATAAGGCTGACTTGCAAAGCTTATGGCTGGCTGCTTTTTCCTGGAAAATGACGCAGTCACAGCTCGATAAGCCTTAAGCCCCAAGCCCGAAACCCTGAACCCAAAACCCCATCAGCCCTAAGTCTGCCCTAAACTTCAACAAAGAAGCCGGCCTGCGCTCCAAGGACTCTCGTGCAAGGTCGCTGGTCCCCAAAATCTTGAGCTTTATTGGGCTGTAACTTCAAAAATAGTGAGGAAGTATATGGGAGTTTCCGCAAAAAAAAGGGGTACCTTATTTTGGGGTACGGGGACGTATAATGAGGATCCTAGTATTTGGGGTACTATATTAGGGTCCCCTGTTCTCGGCAGTTCTATAACTCGGATCAAGTTCCAGCAGAGTTGCACAGCATATTTCTGACCCATTTTGGGATGGACCTTATCTAGCTATATCAAAGAGCCCCTGATAGTTTTACTTACTAACTCTCCCCGCCCATGTCGAACACAGGTTACAAAGCGAACTCTATCCTTCACCCGAACACCCTAAAACCCTCAACCCTCAAACTCTAAACTCAAAATCCCTGAACCCTCAAACCCTAAACCCCTGAATCCCTCAACCCTAAGCCATGGGTTAAACCCACGAAGCCTCTACTTATAAACCCTAAGCGCCGGCTCTCCCCTCCTTCCCCAAAGGCTCCCTGTACCTTTATAGTCGATACTAGGGCCTCAAAATACCTATATAGGGACCCCTTTTAAGCCCTAAGTATCCACTATAAAGGTACATGGAGCCCTTGGGTTCCCGGAACTCAGGTTATAAAGTGAACTTCACGAAGGAAGCTCAGAAGAAGCGGAAGACGCGTCTCGCTCGGATCGGTAGAGGTTTCGTGGGTTTAGGGTTTT